AAAATTCAAGCAGAGAGCTAATGTGTTATTTTTAAACTGTGTGTTTAATTTACATTTCCTAACCTCGTGTGGAAAGAGCAAAACGACCGATGACTGCAACAAGATGCAACTGTTTATTCTGTATGATGGAAGGCTTTAAGAGGCCACAAATCCTGGTGCCACCTCCCTCGGAAGATTTTCCAAAACAGTACTAATGGGAAGCATAATCTTTGTGAGGCAAACAAAGATTATGCTTGACTTGAACTCTGATAATGGAAATGTCTGCTTGACACCCACGGTGACCTTCTGCAATTTCAGACACACCCAGATGTACGTTAATGACACTTCACACGTTGCACCGGCTCAGTCAGTGCAGACCACAGAACGAAACTGACTGATCGGTGTGATTCATCTTTAATATACAACGTGTAGAGAACTTGAGATATTTCTCTGTGTTTAAAAAGAAGAAACCACATCTGTTTATACTGTTTTTCTTGTTATGATCACAACTTATAACGTTTGTTATTTTTTAACTTACAAATATTAAGCAGGAAAGCCACTTAAGACTCAATCCCGAGTTTTAAACCGATGAGGACTTTTAAATTAGTTTTCTAACCCTTTTGTGTAAAAATGAAAACCATGATTATTACATTAGAACATTTCAAAGCATCTGTCATAGAAAAACAGTGTAGTCAGACCCACTCAGTCATTTTACTAAAAAAAATAACATGTTACCTAAAGACAGGACTCAAACTTTGATGTGTCTGGCCTTCACGCTTCAACGAGAAATAAAATGTCACAGCTATGATCAATAGGACTGCTACAGGCCCATGAAAAGTGAGAAACAAAAACAGGTCATGGTTATTTAGTTACAAGAGTTGCCTTTTTCTTTGCCTCCCGATTCTTTATTGAACAGTCATCTATTATATGCAATCAGTGTGGGAAATCAGCTGCAGTGAAAAGCAGGCTGTGGCAGCTATGATGCCATTTTGGCTGGTTTAAAATACACCCCCCCCCCAAACGTAGTTTAATGTAGGCAGGCTGTTGCTGAAGAAACTTAAACTTTCTCTGGCTGATTTACCATGAAATACATCCATAGAGATAAATAAATGTGACAGGTAATCCAAAGTCCAGAAATAAAAACTGAATATTCCAAGATTTAAAATTAAATTATATTTATTTCCATTGTTACATACGAAAAAGAGGTTTTTGTTTTTTAGATTTCGATACTTTGAGAATTTATGTTATGGTACAGCCCCAAAGCCATCCCCACAAAAGATAATTCACTGTGACAACTCATGTGACATTATGAAAATGCGACATGAATACTGACCTTTAGAGTATCTTTACCGCTACGCCCATTATAGAATAACTCTAAAGTAGTGCACGGCAGCACTTTAATATAAAATACAGATTGTATAGTATTTATATTCAGGTAAAATCTATTATGATGTCAGCTTAAGTGTGATAAGGGCATAGACATAGAAACTAAGAAGATTTAAAAATAAACTATTACAGGCTGTCTGCGGCAATGCAGAGGTTTTTCACTTATTCCAACACAAACTATAAGGATTGTGATCTGGACATCACATATAAAATCCTACAATTAAAAATTATAAACATAGCTTTGTGTACAAAACCATGATATGGGATTACAACATAAATGGCATAAAGATAAATTAGGCTAAAATGCATCCTGCTATAAAGACACTTGGAACATCTTACCAAGAAACAGTTCCCACACTAGTGTCTGTCATCTGACATACATTATAACCTTATATATGAAAAATAAATTCAAACGGGAGCTGGATGAAGAAATCCCAGAAGAGATCTGATACCACATCAACAACACAATCACTGAAATTGAGGGAATTTAGTTGGAAGAACCAGATTGTTAACTTTAATGCTCCAAATTACAAGCAAACAGACAAACACTAAACAGCCATGCTGGAAATTATGAAAATGTGGTCATGTGGAACCAAACCACACTCACATTTGGGAAAATAAAACTGGGATTCATTCAACTCTAGGTAAGCTTGGTGAAAGACTCGGTGAAATATATGATTCCAAGATCATTTCAGATCCTATACTCGAGTTGTCTTAAGGGACGTATACCCTAAGGACATATCTGACACCAGCAAAGAAAATTATCACCAAACACTGACTAAGGATTGAAACACCAAGCTACAGAATGAGGTGTTTGCTGTTGAGGAGATTCTGTTGATGTGAAAGCTCAGACAGGAAAAAAAAAGAATACTTTCTCCAAGACTGGGACAAAGGGTTGTCATACAAAGTAAAGAAAGGACTTAAAATAAAGGATTTTGAATAAATTGCTTAGAGGCAGACTTGCACTGGCCTGGGACTGTTCAAATGTACATGAACTTGATTTTTTGTGTTTGTTTTTGGCTAATTTTTAATTTCAGCATTTGTGTAGGTGCTTTACATGGATAAACAAGGCAAATAAAATAAAAGCTACAAAAAAAGATAAATATGGCCTGAAGAAAAGTGATCTTACATCATCAAAAATAATTTTATTAATTAAATGCTGTCAAAGCTGTAAAGGCTCCATTATTGAATCCAAAACCTCCACACAGAATCAAACTATTGTGATTTCCAGGTCTGAGCCAGTTTGTAGATCAGATGTAAGGGTCCAATCATTAGGCTTGTTCATGCAGTAATTAACTGTTATTTACACATAAAAATCAGCATAAAACAGTTAATAGAACAAAAAACTTAATAAATAAATAAAAAATAAAAGTTTTATGACTTATGATACTGTTTAAAGGACAAAATAATTTCTCTCTCCAGCTGGTAAGGCTCTGCTCAAATCTATGTTTACCCCACAATCTATTATTTTCACATTTAAACATCTGTTTTACAAAGACTCACTCAAATACATAATCATACGAAGAATATTCATTTACAGCCCTAATGTATTTGCTTTAGTACTGTGCCCTCGTTAAGACATTTTTGTTGAATATTAATGAAAAGCTGCTGTGTATCCTTAACACAGACATCAAACTTTGTCTGAAAACCAGTGTGAAAATGTCCCTGATGCAACCAAAAACTGTGCGCCATGTTTTCCATCAGTCAAATGGATTATTTTAATGAACTGGAAACAACATAAACCAACCTGTTTCTGTACGGTTCATTCGTGTAACAACTTTATTGACTTAGCAGAACAGGAACACGGGCCAGGTCAGTGTGTTACTGTGTACCCCTCCTTCTCCTCTAAGCTCCACCTCAGTTTCTTTCTTGTTTTTAAAAATCTTTCATTGTAGTCACCGTCTACAGCGCTGCTCAAGTTGCTGCCAAGAACTGATCCAAGTTTGCTTACATTTGCATGTAAATTTCTGCGCCCAACAATAGTGACTGCTGAAAGTCAGCAATCACGCCTTTGTAGGGCCAAAGATCCAAAGAAATATGCCTGGCTCTTCAGCTAAAGGGTATCCAGACCAAAAACGGGATCAGTTCCAACCTTTTTTGTTCAGTTTAAGTGCAGCTACAACTCCCTGAATGACTGTGTTTGCATACAAGCTCAACACATGCTGGAACAGTATTGAACTACAACAAACCGAGCAGGTGGCTCCAGTAAAAACAGCACAGTGGTGTCAAGCTCAACTGAAAAACACGAGTGTTTGCGCGTTACACTCACCAAATGAGAGTTCTCTTTTGCCTCTTGTACTTGCTGCACCTGTGGTTCAGCTACAACTTTCGTGTCCTGGTCAGAAGTCATGAGCCGTCTGCTTCTTGGCTCCTCAGGGAGAAGTCTCTGTGTCACCAAGTAAGCTACAGGGGGGCAGAAGGGACAAACAAGTCTGAGTCAACAACGGATGTTTATCAGCGTATCATCAGCTGGTACATGTGTAAGACAAAGGAGTCAGGAGGTAGTGTCTGACAGTTGCGTTATTAAATCTGATTTTTCACACAAATTGTTTTTAATGCTTGTATATAGACAGAATAACAATCAGTGCATGTGTGGATATTTTCCTCGCACAGACTTAATTTACACTAATTTAAACTACCAACACGTTGCTGTTTCTCTTAAAATTGTAATGGCAAAACTGACAATATGCTGTTGTTCAAACCATTTCAATCTGTGCTTAATGACATGTACGGAGGCCACTATTCTAATTTCAGACACTTCAGACAGACGTGATGACAAAATGTGAAAAATCAAACGTCAGCTTGTTCTGACACATTGAAAGTATGTCACACCAATGTACAAGAAAAGCTATCAATTAGCAATAATGCAAATACAGTAACACAAAAAGCTCTGAAACTCATAACAGAAACAACCGGCGAATTAGACCCATCTACTTTATAGGCCTCGATTACACAACGTGGCTTTGATTCATATTTAGCAGCTGTTTGTTTAGTCGACAGTTTGGCCATGTTTTGGCCATTTTTGCATTAAACGATGCAGGCTTTAATATTTAGCCAGTTATTTAAATAAAATGTGTAATTGTTCTTTTGTGCCGTTGTTTTTATTGAACTGTTGCATTTGTCAAGGTCAAATTTTGTATTTTATATTCCCATTCAATAAAGGATTTTCCATTTCCTGCTGCCTGTGGATACTGACATTTACTGATGACAGTGCTGATGTTTATCTCGTGCTTTTATGGGTTTACCAGCACTCATGCTTGTATGACTGAATTTTAACATTATGGTTTTTTCTCACTTTTAAAAATAAAATAAAATAAATATGTACGTGTGTGATGGTGCATCCCAGCATAGAACAATCATGCAGTTATGTTGAAAACAACAGGTGCATCCATAGAAAGTAAACAGTTTTCTATCTTTAACACCTGCTACATTTGCTGCTTGTGGGGCACACAAAAAAAGTGAACTTTTAACCTTTTTTGACTATTTTTATTAGGGGTATTTTTTAAAAAAGATACATAGTAGCATTGCAATATTTTGTTAAGGTGGTATTGTATCTATACAGAGACACCAAAAATCTGTATTGTAATGAAACAATAATCTGGGCCAATCAAATAAAGAAACAAAGAAACAAAGAAAGAAATCATTGTATTGAATTTTTTCACATTCTGCAACAGATTAAGACTCGTGGTAACAAAATGTTTGCCCAGAGCTTGATGCTGTTGCACTCTCATGGCCACTTATGATGGCAGGGCGATTGCACAGATTTCCAGATAGGAGGCAATCTTAATACCAACAAACTGTCAAAGTTGCAACTTGACAGACTGCAGTAACTCAGAAAAATTGTTGGAAGCTTTCAAATAATTGCTAATTCATAAATGAGACAGATTGCCAACAAGTTGCCATGAGTCTAAATGAGTCTTTGTCAATGACCAGGATTCGAGGGGACTCAACACAACAGGCTGCCAGCTAGTTGTATTCTGGTTTATATGCCTATAGAACAGCAAGGTTGCAGAGTGGAAATGTATTAATTAAATGTGAATTTCTGTCTATGTAGAGAGCAGCAGATATGTGCTTGTCAATGGTTTTTCACAGTTAATTGCCTACTTGACCCCATTCAATAGCAGACAGAGCACACAGATTTTGTCTGGCAGCATTTATGGCAGGTTGTCGTGATAGTCGAATTTTTGCAGCAAAAAAAAAAAAAGAAGAAGAAGAAAGAAAAGAAAACAGCTTAAGTGTGATAACTTTATCTTATAGGATAAAACAGATACTGGCTTAGTTAAACTTTGAAGACATCACTGAAAAAAATTAGTTAAAAGAATGTGATCGGGGGTTTTTTCAAATGTGTTGAAAGAATGCAGCTGACAAAATGTGAAAAAGTAGAGTATACTCATCGCAAAATATTTTTAAAAAATTAAATTGTCATATCATGAGTGAAGTATTCTGATAAGACTGTATCGTAGAAGGTGGCAATGATCATCATATTCCACAAATGTGGCTAAAAACTGCAGTCTGTATCAGTTAGCAGCATGCGAGTGATTAAAAATGATTAATGCTAATGTTGTAATCTGCTGTCTCAACAGAAAGGTTGATAATAAACCAACAATAAGACTGACACAGATCATGTGTGTAATTTCTGGTTGATCTTCAGCCTCATTTCTCTGAGGCGGTGAAAGCAGGCGCATTAAAACAAAAATGTTTTTCTTCAGTTAACAGGAGCAGCACTCGTCATTGGTTGGATTATTACCTGCCGTGATTGTGACAGTCTTTTCTGGACCGACTGCTCAACAAACGTGAAGAAAATAATCTTTTCAGCTGCTCTCATCCACTGCTCTCTCGTTTCACACAGCAATAAAGCAAACGCACAAAGATAAGTCAAAATAAAAGCTGTCCGTTTAGTTTGCCGCTATGTTTTTCAAATCTAAATGTGTAAGACAATATTTGTTATTAAAGCTTTAAAATAACTGTAATAGCAGGTAAGTCTGCTAGAGAGATTGGATAGCTTCTATAAACCTGAAGTTTACCAAATTTACAGCTCGCAGCAGACTAAACAAACAGCTTTTCCTTAAAGCCAAAAATGTCACTTTTCTTCAGGCGGTCTAATGAAGGACTCTTATGGGCTTTAACAACTGCCCCTGTCAGTGCTACAACGCTCCATCCTTCTGGCTAAATATTTGAACATACACTCCTAAATACTTTTTATTGTCCTCGTGCATCTATTTTTAGCCACAAATGCGAGCAAAACACTTACATCATCAAGCCCTGCCTCCCTGAATTCTTTTCCACGTAAAAAGGACGCTTAGCTGCACTTTTTGCTTTCTGTTTATACACGAGTCAAACGTCATGAGGTTTTGTAGGTCAAGTTCTCGACATCACTCTGTCATCCCCAAGGCCCGATTGGATGATCACTTCCACAACATTTGACCTCAGTGTAACGGGGGGGACAAAACAAAACACCACTGGAAACACCTTCTTTTCTGTCCTGCTTGTAAAGCGGTGATAATCCGCCCAACAATCGGGCGCCTGTCCCTGACACGGGCCCTCGCTGTGTTCGCATACAAAGCAGAAAAAGAATGGTGTGGCTGTAAAGCCGGTGACCTTTGATCCACATAATGACACAGTGTCACTGCTGCTGTGATGAATGGGGCATAGCACAAGCCTCCATCAACTCACATCAATAATTGAAGCATCTGTTTGCGTGATAAACTTTGCACCTAACATTGTAAAAACGGTTTGACAACTGAAACCTGCACACAACCCCAGTGTGTAACTAGCTGACAAGTCATGCAAAATCTATTATTTTATTATTTTTGGACTAAATAGGAAGCCAGTACCCAACGATTGGGTGTGGGGGTTCTGGGTTTTCATGTCACCTTGTGTGCTTCAGTACCAAATTCTCTGTGATGTATTTTTCTGTTTCTGCTGTCACACATTTAAAGGACTGACATACTGACACAACAAAGTCTTGGCAGCCTTTTTTCCGAACTACTGCTCTTTAATGCTGACGTTCTGATTTGAACTTCTACCTCTGATAAAAATCACCACGCACATAAATAAATAAATAAAAACCCTGGTGCTGTGATTAAAGCCAGAAAGTCTCATTCTTGTCTATGTCAGCTGCCCTTCGGTCAACTGCCTGTTCCAATTGAGGCTGAACCACGCTCACCTCAGAGAGCTCTTCCAGAAAGGGTCGTGGTCTGAAACAGTTTCTGCAGATTTAAAACTACAGACACCGTAAGAGCTTATTTGGTAAACAGCTTAAGGAAGGGAAAAAAAAGAAAAGAAAAATGGTGTTAGTCTGTCCCTAAAACACCCTAACAGCCATTTTTGTTGGCAGAGCCCATGTTACATGAATTGCAGGAAGCTTTTGGGGTACAGATGGGGGCGAAGACTGCAACAGGCAACGCTGAACTGATGTTCTGCACTGCACCTACGAGGCAAGCGGCACAGAGCTGAAAGCAGACCATGTGAAAGCCTGTGAGCACTCTGGAGATAAAAGAAGCTGAAGGCAAACACTAATAATCCTTCCACAGGTTCACTTACAGAAACCTCAGTAGTTTTACTTCCTCTAGAGAGATCTTACCGAGCTAAAGCTCTCCTTTAATCATCCTGACTCGAGCTGAACTCAACTGATCAGGCTTTGCTTTTGTGGAGGACCAAATGCTTCCTGCTGGAGTAAAAATAGTCATCGTTTGATCCGGACTGTGTCGTTTTCATGATTGCTGGCCGCCAAATTTATAAACAAATTTTAAATTCAATACTTTTGTGCAGAAACTTGAAATCATATTATGAACCTGTTAGATCTACATCTACTTGATATATAAGCTGACCCATAGCACAACAAATGACATAGCTACCAGGCTGTGATATCAGCTAAAATACTCTTCGTTTAGCCCAAAGGTTGGGCAATGCTTGTGTTAGAGTAGTGAGAACAACCTTTTCACTCTGGTCAGAAACTATCGCACACCATGAAGCTGAAAGCATGCAAACTTGGATCACTAGCCACAAATGTAAATATGAATCAACTGAAAGAACCACTCAGAGGAAACGGAGAACTTGTGAAAATGACAGTTGTTGTGACATTAATGTAAACTATTTTAAACTACTTCAGGAACCTCACACTGGTAATACTAATGTTACTGAGGTAAAGCATCAGTCCAATTGATTCAGCTAAAACATTTAACATGTTCTGCCTTGTTTGTGTAAGAGTAAATACACAGAAAGGTTGGACAGCTTTTGTCCTAAAATAGACTGTGTGAACTGTGCTGCTATCAAAAACAGTAAAGATGACGATTTTGCGTCCTGCGCTTGGGAGCTGTTGTTCATCAAATGTCATCTAAATATTAACCAAGTTGAGTTTTTCTTAATTCTGTTTTTGCTATCACGCACAGTAACTCAGTAATTGCTCATCAATTTGAATTACTCATTATTTCAAAAGCATATAAATCCCTCCTGTGGCAAGTAGTTAAGAAGAGAACTCACACCTCCCCACACCCACACCATTTTAAAATTAAATTAAATCCAGATGATAAAAAAAATCTGAAGTTTATTTTAAAATATAATTAAAGAAGCTCATTTCTCTCCAATTCAGCAACAATTACATTTTTTAGCTTTAAGCAGCCAGCAGGAATACATCTCATGCCCACAGCGTTGTAATTTTAACCTGAGACAACACCTTCAACCAACACACAAACTGCCTTTTAGAGAAAACACCTGCACTCTGAGAGTGAGCCAAGTGTGATATTTACTTTATGCAGGATAAACTCCAGACCAGAGACGTTTCCCTTTGGTCGCTGAAATATTATCAGTCTGTCAAAACATTTAACATGGATAATTGTGAGAAGCCAAAACTGTAAGTGAAATGTAATTTTCATTAATCACACAGCAATAAGGCAGCCTAACCTGGTAGTGTGTAGTACTGTGGTTTAAAGTAACAGCTTATAAATATTAAGTCAAATTGAACTTGGATAAACACACAGGCTGGCTCATAACTGCCTGCTCAAAAAGAAACAACTCAAGACAAAGTCTTTTCTTGCTTATTTCACCCTCACTGTACCTGAACTTAGAGAGCCCCCCCAGCCAATCCCACTCTAACTCCAACTATACCTGTACTTACAAAAGGCATAACAAAATTCCCAGATCTCTTTATTTTATCTGGCTTAACTACACCAAACATCAACAATTAGGCCAACTGATTACACAAAGGCCATTGTCAATTAATCTAATTAACACTGGCAGCATCTGACCAATCACAATCATAAGTGTGCTGAGAGCAAAATTGACCGACTCAGATAAAATTATAATTTTTAGAAAATACGAAGATAATACAGCCTGACCACGTCAAAGCTCTATTATTAAAGATGGAGGGGGGGGGGGGGTTTGATGTGTGCAAAAAAGTTTCAGGTTTTTACTTTTTACTTTCAGAAGGAGCCTGAACATTAAAAAATAAAATAAAATAAACAGTTTGTGAAGAAATAAAGACCAAAAATTAAAAACAGGATTCATATTGGTTAGTGTGTAGGATTTTTGCTGGCATAGAGTGGACCTTTAATGCGCACCTATGCATAAGCACGACTGGTATGCATATAACTGTAGCGAAAACACATTTATAGCAAATTTCAACTCTTGCTGCCCTCTCAAAGAGCTTTAGACTACAAGGCCACATTTAATCTACCTCACATCCACGGCCAATTTACAATCACCATTTAACATAAGCAGTCCTTGGACTGTGGGAGGAACATGGAGAGGACCCACATACACAGGAATAACAAGCAAACTCCACACAGAAAGGCCAGAGCCACGGTTAGAATTAGGAAATTACTTAATGTGACGCCTCAAAGTGCCAGAATACTCTCAGCATTGGTCACCATAACATCATAATGTCACTTCTATTTATGCTAGCTGCTGTTGTTTCTGTGGATTTCACAAACAAAAAGTTAAGTTTCAGTAAATTAAACCCTACTTAAAAATACTGGTTTACCATCCTTTAAAAAAATAAAATAAAATAAAACACAGTATTGGTGATGGTGCTTGGTTGGTGGACACATACTTTCAAATTTCCTAACAAAACAAATTGTTTTAAAATAGTTTTAAACAGGAATAAATGTGTTCCTCAAATCTCTATGAGTGATGCTCATCAAATGAAGAAGAGAACTTTAGAGTATGTCCAGGGTAAGATTAATCATTCCCATAATTCTAAGACATGATACTGCCACAGAGAGATAAAGCTGTCTAATCGAGCTCAGCCCTGCATCTGCACTGGTGCACAGCCACAGGACAGCGGCAGCACTGCAGAGGTGGACCCACATCCGACCTACACAACACCTTTACAGTCTACAGTGGAACTTGAGTGGAACTCTGGTTTACCTGATGCAGCAGCTTCTCTTTTCTGCTTTTTTCCCAAAATTCAGAGGGCGCATTAACTTTTCATTCATATCCATGTTTTGTGTACTTTAAATATTCTTCTTGTGTCTCCCATGGTTAAAGAGGACTAACAGCAGTAGAATAATATTTTTGTTCAGTGCAACTTCTACTATGGTAGAGGTTGCACTGAATGAGCAACTTAATATAAGAATAAGCTCCAAATCTTATATCTATCATAAGAACTGCATGGTTAGAGGTTAGTGGTTCAGCAGTTATCACCTTTAGCCACTAGTTATTTTCATCTTGCTGTTATTATAACTGCAGTGAGGAGACCAGCTATAGTGGTATTTGTAGTAAGTACTTTTAGAGACACAAAAACCTCACCTGTGTGTATTCATTGTGTCACTCTTTCAGAGAATAAATGTGCAGATGTTTAGTCATGTAGAAACAATCCTTCCTGCCCGAGGTCAGAGCAATCACAGCAGCACCACTTTCTAAAGAGCTGACTGATAAATGGATAGTTATTTCGTACCTGTTGATCATTCTTATTTTGAACTTAAGCTGCTCTGGAGCAAGCGATGTATCGCCTTAACAACAAAAATACCTACATAACCCCAAAGACCCAGAGTTACACCTGAAGTTATCTTGCTCAAGTCCAAATTCTGCTTCCTAGTACAGACCTCAGAGCACACAATACAGACAATGTTAAACAACTTATTTCAAAGTTATTCCAAAGGAAAACGACAATACTGATAATAAACATTTTAATAAGTAATGTTTTTAAAGGGTGGGTTAATTTACTTAACCTTGAGTACATATTTTGTGAACAAATCCACAAAAACACCAGAAAACAAGAGATGTCTGTTAAGTAATTAGATGCAGACCAACCGCTTTTCTCATAACAAAAAATGCCCATTGTGAGTCCAGAAACCCCGCTACCACTACACCTGAGGCTGCCCCCCGAATCCCCACTTTAACCCCTCAATACAACCCTTCAACAAACAGTGATCCTTATCAAACCACATCCCATTTCCTCTACAGATGCAGTGACTCAATCATGAGGTTTAGACAGGGCCTGAACCAAAACAAGCTCTGCTCACTCCTCCCCTGTCGTGTTTCCACCCTGCTCAATCACTTCAGGTGATTTATGACCCCCAGCCGGTGCTCTAAAACAAGGCCGAGGTTCAACTCTACCGGTGAAAAATGCAAGGGTGGTCCACAGGACTGTATTTATAGTCGGTTGCTTACCGCTGGTGGAGGATGGTCGCAAGACATCTTGGATGTCTGTAAACGCTGCTAATCAGCGTGTACCTCCGTCCATCCACACACACTCGAGAAGCATTTGTTTGGATCAACTTGACAAGTCAAAAAACATAACAACTTCCAGTGGAGACGCAATGCAGGCGCGTTTAGCAGCTGACAGCCGGCAGTGACTGCAGCTCACATGCCAGGGGCCAAACTCAGCGACACTCCTTTAATAATTGCGCCGTGATGAGGACGAAGTGCGGCCTGAGCGTGGCTAAAGAAAAAACACAGCTACTGTAGCCACGACGCCTGTGTAGTAAAGTTGAGCCGACTGCAAAGTAGCAGCCATGTCTTGTTAGCTGGTTTTGCAGCAGCATCCAATGAAAGATGGCGACCTCAGGCGTGAATTCGCGGATTCCCCAACCCCCAACCGATTTGAATCAGTTAGTTAGCAAGAGAGCTAACTTGCCCCTGACCGTGTGTTTACCACCCCTCTCCCCTTAATGACAGAGAACAGCTTCTTACTCACCTGTCAACTCTCACTATACGGCTCTGCAAACACTGTGGTAGCTGCTGCTGGAGGTGGTGCTGGACTGAGGCCTCGAACTGGCTTCCAGGCTAAATGCGCAGGGTGTTAGCTAGCGAGCTAGCAAGCTGTATCGAGCACGCTAGCTGCGAACAACCGGCTCAAACTTCACCAGCAAACAGTCTTCAGGTGTCAGGGGACGCACCCACAGCCAGTTACAGCGCAATGACAAAAACACTCCAACACTGACACGGGGAAGGGGGGGAAAAGAAAGGAAAACGAGGTCCCCCTTAACAACACTGCAAGCTAGTTAGCAAGTTAGCTAGGTGGCTAGCTAGCTAGCTTGCCTGCCTATCAAGTTTGTGCAGTCGATGAAAACTGGCGTCTGGAAGCAAAATCCCTCACGGTCAACAGCAGGCTCTGAGGGAGGGAGGCCAGTCCAGAAACAATCAGGGGAAGCCTAAAAAGTGAGAAATAAACGTGACTCGTCTTCCAGCTTCCGATCGATCAAACATTCGCTCCTGCTAAAGATGAGAGAGAGAAGAGGGGGGTTTGGAATGGAGAAGTCGGCGTTTCCTTTCCTTTTCGTGTGCAGCGCAAAGATCGTCTATAGCGCAGATTTACCGGACATCTCAGCGGCTCCGAAAAACTTTTTTTAAGTGTCCACCAAAGACCAGAGCTTCATTATAAATATTTTAATTAATAAAGCCCAATAATATCAGATAGCTTCAAACGTATTCACATATTTAAAAATGGGGCCACTTACATCTTAAACCAGGTATTTAATCAAACAAGCAACCTATCAGAAATACACACACATACACACAAATAATCATAAGTAAAAATAAATCAGCAAAACATAATCAAAGAATATATATATATATATATATGAAACAATTTTGATACTAATCAGGAAGGCATGCAAATGGTCTTTATCTGCTAGATTACCAAACGTGGCTGAGCTCAACAGGCATGGCTGTGCACTGCTATTCTTAATTTCAATATTTGGTAAAAGGACTAGTAAATAAAAACGTGTTCTTGAAATTATCTGTAGCATTTGCTTCCCTAATATTTTAATCTTCCACAGTTTGGGGGCTTTAACTGTGAAAGCTGATAGCTCAAAGTTCGATATCTAAGATCTAAGAGGGCGAGTCAGTTTGTGACAGACTTTCGTAAATATAAGAAGGTCCAACACAAATGAGGATTTTCTATTCGGGTAAGAGTATTTTAAAGTCGGCTTATATTGTTTACCTCATATCAATAGACTAACGCTACATGTTAAATAGGTTTATTGTTTTATGTTTCTGTATAATAGGTAGAAAGACACATCTTATAGTTTGAGGTGGTGCAAAGAATTTTTATATATACACAACAGTGATTACAAATTAAGAAGACAGAACTGAAGCTAAGTTAAAAAATATAAAATTCAGACTCAGATTGTGCGAAAGAGTACTTCAAATGGCATTAATTAATAATATATGCAGTATAAATCAAAGAAGGTATGTGGACTCTGCTGTCCTGACAGGTGTGTTCACCTGACACAGAAAAACAGACCTGTTATGCAGTTTAACAGAGAGCAGTAGGAATGATTTCCTGAAGCGTTCTTCATTCAGTGAGGTTGAACACGTCTGAGGAAGAATGTGCTCTGCTGCCTCTGCAGTGTGGAGCGGAGCAGGTGTGATGGGGCATGGTGGAGAGCAGTTTGTTCAGTGACCTCCTGTTTCTCACTGACTCAGACGCCTCCAGATTCTGGCCAGTGATCCTGTGGAGCCTGCTGCCATCTCTGGCACCGATGCTGTCCACCCAGCAGTCAACTGCAAAGTAAACAGCGCCCTTGCCGCACACTGAGCTTCCTCCGAAAGCAGAGTCTGCTCATTTCCTGCTCATATACAGCACCAATGTTGGTCCTCCAGCCCAGTCTGCCATTCAAGTGAACACCTGTAGCTCTCCTCTGGAAGCCAACCAACTCTTTTTTGTCTTGCTGACATTCAGGAGGTTTTTTCCCTGCACTCCAATTCCAGCCAGCCCTTAATACACCCACCCACTGCAGCGTCATCAGAGCACTTCTTTTCCCAACAGTGAAAAGTAAACAGGAATGGAGACAGGACAGTCAGCTGTGGTGCCCCAGTACTGATAAGCACCACATCAGACATGGCTCCCCCGCCATACAAACCAACAGACAGCCACGAGACCGTGGAAGTGACACCCATCCTGAGCAGGTATTAAACTTACTGAAAAACATGACTCTCACAATGCCACCAAGGTATATCCACTCCTGTGTGGGCTACTGGTTATTTTCTAAATATAATCTTTTTGACTTAAAAAGACAAACAAGACAACTTTTTAAAATAACTGCTGACAAATGAATTTGTTACAGCAGGTGAGAATGAAGTAAAACACAACAAATATATAGGAAATAAGTATAACAGCTTATGAGTCATTAAAATAAGAATATAGCGTGACAAAACTATTATGAAGAGAAGTAAAAAAATTTATTTGAAATCATAATAAATGCGAGACATGAAAATTTAAAAAACCATAACAAATGAACAAATCTAAATACTAATCTGTAAGTGACAATAAATAGATAGGAATATTTAAATGGTAACAAATAGATAGATAAACAAACAAACAAACAAACAAACAAATAAATAAATAAATGTGCAAAAGTTTCAAGTCACACCTCATTTATTTGTTTTGCTTCAAATGAGACAGATTATTTGTGGTTTTTCTGGGTTTTTATTGCTGACATTGGCTGCTTTTTCACTCATTTTCAGTCCAGTCCTTGTACCTCACCATGTTCACAGGGATGTTTGTTAAGCAGCTTTACACTGACCTATGGATGAAAAAAACACATAACTTACGGGATGAACCTGTGTTGTGTCCACACATAACAGACAACCAAGTGAAGAAATTTTCAGATTCTATCTCCAGGCTCTTTGTTACTAATAGCCTGTCAAAAAACCACATTTATTCCCACTCCCACAATGGTTTGACAGGAATATACGTTACTTTTTGCAACAACAAGGGGATTCCCAAAGAGCTATTAGCTGAAACCATGGCTTACCTAAGCATGATGTGCAGTGTGTCCTTAACAAATCGGAGTGACCTGTACAAGTGACAGGCCTAAAAACTGTCATGAAATCCAGCAAAGACCTGACACAGGACCTGAGAGGTGAATCCTGGACCTTCGGATAATTCATCTGCTGTTTACTGAAGCCTCGTCAGAAATACTCTCAGCTGAAGGGTGGCTGTCAAGAAGCCATTCTTAAGCAAAGGAAACAGGGAGAAAAGGCTGAGGTGTTCCAGGTTACACAAGAACTGGACTAGAAATCAGTCAGTATCTGTCTATAAAACTGTCTGGAAGCTCTGTCATAGTGTAGTAAGTATTGTTGGGGATCTTATCAATGCTGATGAAATAGTGCCATCAGATTTTGACCCCCTCATGCTACATCATCTTGAAAATATCTGACTGGAAAGGCAGTGATCCCAAATAGACTGCCAGTGCAGTAAAATCATACCTGGATAGAAAACAGTGGAACACCATCAGTCATGGATTGGCCTCCCCAGAGCCTGAATCTTAGTATTACAGAAGCATTGTTGGATCATCCTGACAGAGAACAGAACAAAAGACAGCAAACATCTAAAGAAGAGCTTTGAATGTCCTTCAAGAAACCTGGAGAACTACTTCTGAAGACTAACAGAGTTGAGGCTGTGTTAAATAATAAAAGTGATCGTACCAAATATTGACCTTCAAGCTCTAAAGAATTGTACAAACTCTGTTTTTACCTTATATTCCATATTTCCACGTGAGCTGCCGTGTTTCAGTAAAATGCTGCACCTATTTTGCATTTTTAAGCAAACTATAAAGAAAGACTTTCTCACAGGGCTATATTTCATCATCAGTGCAGGAGGAAAGCTGACACTGAGGGAAAATTCTTTAAAGTGCTAAGGAAAAAATGTTGTCCTGTTTTGTCTTTTTCTGTTCTGGTGCTGAGTTAGCGGATACCGAGCTTGCGCTAAAGTCTCAGTTCTCACTGAGGCCGGAGGAGCAGAGCCAGAGAATCGAGGCGGATGTAAACACGAGCCGCTCTCCGTCAGCGGAGTGATACCTCTTCGCGTGTTTTTCTATCTCTGCGCCTAGAGCTGTCACACAGGGCTCCAGCCCCTGCCCCTCCTCCCCCCTCCTTTTACTCTTCCTCGCTCGCGCTCGCAGCAGGTCGTCCTGATTGGTCCACACTGCCCGTGGGTGCACGCGGATCCACTCGTGATCAGGGAGAGTGGGCGGGATCACGGGCTATTCTTGTCCGCTGATTGGCTGCTTGTCGCTCCGCGCGGATCACAACAAGAATGTTTTTCAAACTAGTCAATGCTGTCAAAGCAGCAAGCACACACACACACACACACACACACACACGTACATATATATATGTGAATGATAAATAATTATTATTAATTATTAAATATTGTTTTATTAAAATGTCACCAACTCCAAATTACAGCGCTATAAAAAGTTTTCTGTTTATTATAAAATAATACAAATAACAAAACCTTAAATTAAAATTAAAATTAGACACTTTCTGGCAACTTGAAGTGTTAATAATAATAGCCAAATTTTATCCAATTCAACGAATAATTAATAAATAAATCCAAAGAAACAAAGAAGTTGTAATAATAATAAAAATGAAAAAATAAGACAATTAATTAAAGCCTAATTAAATACATAGCAAAAAATATTTTAAAAAGTAGATTGCCATGACAAAACAAATATCTCAGTCAGATAAAAGGTAATCTGAAATAATAAAAATGACAATACAAAGAAAATACTATGAATTCAAATAATAAAAATGCAAATATTTCAGACTAAGCAAAACAAAATAAAACGGAATTTAGTAAAAGAAACACCCCCCCCCCCACATGTATGTCATTAACTGCATCACTGACATAAAATGTATCAATGACGTAAACAATTAAATCAGTTGATAAAATAGGTCACTGTAATTTTTCGGACGTAATGAGCAAACAGCAAACAAACCTAATGAGATTCCCATATTAATACCTACCTACCTAGTCCCAAAGTTACTTTCAGACCTGTTTTTACAGACAGGAAATAAATAAAAACTCAACTCTCCTTCCTTTGTGTAGGACATACGGTGGAATCAGTGGGTGTAAATCAATCTCAATATATGATTTTTTGTTTAATAATAATTTAGAAAATCTGAAAAAAAGTCTTTCATTTTTAATATTCTAAAGAAAACCCTGCTTACGTAAACAGCAACACTAAATGAATGAATAAATGTCTTTATTGTCACTGTAAAAACTATATTGTGAAGTAATAATATGCATGTAAATAAATTCACTCACATGTAAATGAATAGTACCTAAATATGCATGTGTACATTTAAGTTGTTTTTATGTATCTCATACTCACACAGATAGATAAGATAAAATGTTATTGAAAAAAGCTGTTAAGCTTTTGTGTCTCTTGAATAAATCTAAATGATTCAATACAACCAGTATTTTTGTTTTTGATGATTTGGATTTCTTGTGGTTGTGTCTATTTTTGTTGTGTCTGTGTCCGGACGCCAGGGGGCGGTGTCCAAAAAACACACACACAAACTGTTTTCTGAGTCTTTTCCGGCTGTTGCGGAACTCCGGGCTTTCTTTCCCCGTGCCGTCAGCGGACTACAACGTGTCCCGACAAAATGGCACTTTATAATTTCAAGAAGATTATGGTGGTTCCCACCGCCAAGGTAAGTTTTACCTTTTGCTAACATCGCGTTTTAAAGCGGCTGAGGTTCGGTGCGGCTCGCTGTGGGAGATGGCAGGAGATAAAAGATGGTGGAAAAGAAAACACGTGCCGTACTGGGCTGAAGAGAGAGCAGCATGTTTAAGAAAAGCAGACTTCAGGCAGAAAACTGCTACACTGAGTCTGACATGTCATTATATGTGAATAAACAGCCAGTAAAAGTCTGTCTTAGCCGGTGGTTGCTCTGATTTTCGCTTTCAGAACTGCATTCACAAATCTGGAGGTTTACCTATGTGTTTTCTTACCTCTGTATAAGTTTAAGGCTGTTTGTTCCATAGGTTTCTGTTTCCTGTGAGCAGAGACACTGTTGCTCACTTCGGCAGGTATAAGATACTTTCATCACCTCATGAAAACAGGCCTAATGACTCTCGTGTGGCTACGGTGGTGTCAGTCCTTTTAAACACCACGTTGTGGCGGCCTACTATGAGAAGACAGTCATGAAAGACTCTGCCTTCTTTCCTCAAACAGTTTTTTAATATAACTTGTATGCCGAACTTTAAAAAACACTATAATTCGTGTTAAGCGTCACATAAAATTGTGTTATAAGCTGCCTGATTTGGCCGGTAGCCGAGTAAACATTAAACTGATTGGTTTCTCAGGGAGGTCTGGCTGGATTCTAGGAAAACCGATTATATGAGATTTAATGTACTGAATTACAGGGAAATGGAATTTTCTTGTTCGTAATGTAACTATTCGAGTATTGATAAACCTCAAATAGCCAAATAATTAAAGACAGAGGCCAAAAATAAAATCACTTTTTCAGATGATGTTATAATGAATTGTTTGTTTGTGGTGATCTGTGGCTGACCTTTACCCTGTTTAAATCTGTGCAGGATTTCATCGATGTCACTTTATCCAAAACCCAAAGGAAGACGCCCACGGTGGTACACAAACATTACCAGATTCACCGTATCCGACACTTTTACATGCGAAAGGTGAAGTTCACCCAGCAGAACTACCATGACCGCCTCACGCAGATCCTTGCCGACTTCCCCAAGCTCGACGTAAGAAAAGAAAATTTGAAACAGACTCATTTCATTTAAATATCTGGTCAAACTCGTATGATGCTTAATGTTACGTTATGTTTTCCATCTCCTCAGGACATCCACCCTTTCTATGCTGATCTAATGAACGTCTTGTATGACAAAGATCATTACAAGTTGGCCTTAGGACAGTTAAACATTGCCAAGAATCTGATTGACAAGTAAGTTTATCTAAAATCTAATGCTGGTTATTGTTGTGCTGTGAACACTGCTTTCAGATCTTTGTTCCTCCTGATGTACAAATCTGAATCAAAAGCCTCTCACTCTATTCACTAATGGATTTCACTGATGGATCTAAAGCTTTGACATCTTCTGTGGTGTTTG